CATGATTCCAGTTCCAAGGGAATGTACACGTTACATTCAAAGGGCATTAAAGTGCGCGAGACGTGAATTTATATTGTATTTATTTACAGAGGTAGGGGAGAGCGGGGCACAAAGTAACACTTTTTGACTTTCTCAGTTTGTGTAAATCCACATGGGGTTCAGAATATAATTTTTATTTATCCACAGTAATTTTACACTTGTCTAGTACAAATACATCGCTTTGTTTCATAATTACAGTGTATACGTTTTTCTTTATTTACCCTCAAAAAATGGAAGTGAAATGTGACAACATGCCCCATAGGTGGAACACATTGTAACATCCGAGGGGCACGTTGTAACTTGACCATATGACAGCTTAAAATCTTATCTGATCGAATGAAAAAAATATACAAGACAAACTAAAATATTTTGTTAATAAATATATATATTTTTTTATTTTTTTTTTTTTTTCAAAATAAAACGTGTGTGTGTGTGTGTGTGTGTGTGTAAAATAGTTTATCAGTCTGGCGAGTAAACAAAACAATTTACTAGCCAATGGCGATTATATTGCCAAGGTGTGCGAAGAGGGTTGTCTGTCATAGATGTGTATCAATCAAAAGAAAATGGCACTGTATGTAACTGAGCAAAGCCCAAAGCAATAAGGGTGGCGACAACAACCTGAAGAAGATCAAATGAAATGAACTTGAATTATATATATAGCACTGTGATATATGTACAGCAACCGTACATGGGTCGAATAAGACAATTCCCTTTGTTCAGACATTCAGAACATAAGCTAAGAAACAAAAACAGTGACAATTATTTTCACACTTAAATCATAGCGCATACTGCACTCATGCAGTAATCTCACAACACATGAGGAAAGATGACCAACAAACAACATGTGAAATTATTCTGATGCTTTTCCTCTGTCTGTTTGTGTGTGCGTGCGAGTGTTGTGCACTCAGAGACACTGCACGGATCTGACAGATGGTCTGGGATAAAGCTACACTGGTGGACTCAGCAACCAGCGGAAAACCGTCCAATTGGAAGTAAAACCTTCACAGCTCACCCAATAGATTTATATGCCACCTAAAACCTGACACTCAAGCACCAGCTAATCCCTCCAGCGCTCACGATGGCTTTAAGTGGCCGCAGCAGGGAGGGGCCACGCGTTTCACATGACGTATTGTTTCACATTGTCAAAACAAGCCCTGAAATCCTAAAACAGTTGAATGGGAATGAAACCGCGCACTGACTCTTTTTAGTGGCTGCTGCTTGTCAAATATTAGCACGCACACACACACACACACACACACACCACATGATCCACACTGACACTTACAAATATTTGCTACTTCATCACATGCATGTTGATATGGCTACTTCACTATGCATGCATGCATTAGACAGTACTAGAAATCGGCATTACAACAACACAGTGTGGTTCACACAGGAAAACAACAGTCAACTCTAAAACTGCGCTCACTCTGCATCACACTATCAAATGTACTTTGAGAAGACAGCAGTGTGTCTCATACAGTATTGTGAGTACAGCATGATAAGAGTGTCTGTTGTATTACTTTGTGTACTATGCAGTCTCTGTTTGACATTGCACTAGATGTTCCCTTAAAATCCAGTGCTGCACACAGAAACACAAACTCGCACTGCATTATGATTTGGTGCACAAAATCGAGTTAGATCAGGGTTTGTGAGTCAATGAAAAGCTAATGATTAATTCAATCAAAACTATTTTAAAATAAAAAAAATCAAAATAAACACTTACTGAAAGAAAAAAAAACTAAATATTGTATTTGTCATTTGACCATTAATCAACAACACTTCAGAATATTTTAGATCAAAGGGCTTCGGCTGACAAAAATCACTGGCCTTAAAATTAATAGTTCTCACAAAAATGACATTTCTGTCATCCTTTACTCACCTTCCTGTTAAGATATCCTGAAGAATGTGTGTAGCCAAACCACATGTAGTGTAGCCATTGACTTCCATAGTGGACAAGAACTGAACATTCATCAAAATATCTTCTGTGTTCAGCAGAAGAGATAAACTCATACGGGTTTGGAACAACATGAGGCTGAGTAAATGAAGACAGGATTTTCGTTTTTGAGGGAACTATCCGTTTAAGCACTTTGGAAAAGCTCAACTAACTAACTAATTATGATTGGCCTTCAAAAAAAAAAAAATGCCAAGTTCTCCGTAGTGTCTGGAAAAATTCTACAGCCACTATCTTTATTGTTTTCACTAATATGCACCTAAAATATAGGGCTTTATACAGAGTAAGAAGTCTTCAGTATTAAATTGATTCAGAAACGCAATTCAGATGTGTTTGGGCGCTCCGGCATTTTTGCACATTTTAAAATAAATCCAATGCCATGACGGCTAAAATATCACTAATAGCCTTGCAGCAACTACATTTTTAGTGTCGAGAGAAAAATAAGACTTGGCTTTGGGGGATTTTTTTTTTTTTTCAATGTGAAGCGTGCGCGCGACGCGAATAAATTAGAACGCGGAAGTTTTCGTCGCGTCGCTCGCGGTGCGCGATGTAAAATGAGCACATCTGGACTGAAGGTCTGGCGTCAGAGAAACGCTTGCGGCGCCGCAGAAGATGGCGTCGCGTCGTCCACATTAAAAACGCCACCAGACCAAAACGCGTCAAACACACAGCGAGTACGACGCGCAGCGATGTCCTGGGGCGTGTAAAGGTGACCACACACACAGGGCTGTGAGCGGCGCAAGCCAGCCACGCGGGCAACTCACTGCATTTAGGGCACGTGCCGCTGAATTTCAACGGCACACAAGAACACGTTAACACGATTTTTCCGGCCCCCGGTCGCTTGGAAATGCGCTGATGTTACGCCGCGTCACGCGCGTCACGTCCAGCTGAGCGAGTTCAGACGGGCGCAGTGCCGTTAAAACAGCGATCGGTGTAAACATCACGACTGGAGATTATATCGTTACATAAAGACGCCATATGGGATCTGACACGGGTTACAGAGAGCGTGTCTATATGTTCATCCGCAGCGCACACGTTAACGTTAACGTACACACATCGGGTTTGGAGAGTCAACGACATTTTCAAACACCACCGCGATGCGATCAATACACCGACAGACTGTAAATCATCATTACACGATTCATTCACGACACAGATCATATCCAGTGGCCATCCAAGCACAAAATCCAGTATTAATATTAATATTACACCTAACGTTATCGGCGTTATCTTTTGAAAGGCGTGACATCAGACTAACGGCTCATGATAAAGTTCTCCTCAGTCAGCTCCGTGCGGAGTCACCTACAGCAAATACACACAAGCACTGCTGATATGATTAAAAACAGCCATAATCGCCGTACCTTATTCAGTCTGGACGCGCTCGGCGAAACTTTGAGGATGTGGTCTCCGGTTAAAGAGCCTCCGACAGCCTCAGAAATGTAAAATTGAAATTCCCACACCGAAACCTTTCTGGGAGAAGAGACAACGTAGTGAAACATGCGAGCCCTCCCCTCTACACGCACGCCGGAGCCCGCCTCCGCGTCAGTGATTGGCTGGCGGAAATCGAGCTCGGGATGTAATTGGTGAAAGTCGCTGTCTGTCCGAAATTCTCGTCTTCTATTGGAGGGCTCTGAGAGTAGTTTATAATAAGGATGTTGACTACAGAACTGCGGACAAAAGGAACTACGGCGAAGACTGGTGACTTTAAGAGAAACAGCGCGCACTGCTGGATATGTTCAAAGCCACACGAGAAGACAACTAGTCTAACTAGTCTAGCAATTTTCAAGAATATTCCACAGCTCACGATATTCAGCTGAGCCCTGAAGTAACTCTCTTTGTATTTGTACCGTTGTTATACAGTTTTTACCAAGCAGTAACTGTAAAATAAACATGGATTAAACATGGGATCTCGTCCAAACGAGTGAAAACATTTTTTTGTCATTCTGGTTAATTTCTTTAATACCATGTTACTGCATATTTATTTTAATGTACCCTTTCCCTCTTCTCTCTTTTGGAAAGCTATCGTGGATTTTTCTTTTGCTATTGTTGCAAATGAGAACACACACACACACACACACACACACACACACACATATACATATATATATATATATATATATATATTGTTGCAGTTCCCGTTCACCATTATAGGAGTTTACCAACTATGACGGCTTCTGAGGATCCCAGAAATGTGAAAAGGGTCCATAACCCTAACTGTACTAATCAGGGTTATCATGAGGGGAACTTTCATTAGGTTTCTCTCTGGAATAACTTACTCTCTGGCAAACGGGGCCCACTCAGAAGAATGTTCTCCCTGGCCCTGTGCTAATAACTGTGCTATTTTGGTAGTTTCATAAGGCCATCTGCAGACTATTTTTGTAATTTCTGCATTGGTTTTGGTGGAAGATTTGAAGAAATCTGTGGGATGGATTTAAGTACTGGCAGCTGAAAGCATCATCATATTTTATAAACTATCCACCTTATTTTTCAATGCGGAAGTAAGCCGTTTTCTGTGAATGTGCGAGACTTCTGGTTCATTCGCCGCTGTAGGGAGATAACGAGAAGAATATCGAAGCGTAGTAAACGGTGAAACTGTTTGCACTACAAACCAGTGTGTTCATAATTAAGATAATACATTAAAATAATATGATAAGCAACACCAATTTGCAAATGCAAAAAAACAAGCTGTTTTATACAGCTGAAAATAGCTGGAAGCGGATGAGACCAGAAGCCAGACGCATAAAGTTTACAACTGGCCGCACCCGCTCTTATGAAAACAATAAGGTGGATAAGGATTTTCTTAGCTAAAGCAGTTTGATGGTCATTAGTGAAGTGAAGGTCAAGGTCAGGATATGTAAGACTCATCACTGGATAACATGCCATACAGACCCCATAATGCACCAGTACTGTGTGTTAACCTCCAAAACTAACCAAACCAAAACAACTAATGAAAAACTATCTATCTATCTGTGTACTATATCTTATTTAAAGTCCACATGAAATCTAAATTCACTCTGTGCACATTACTAGTCTTGTGGTGAATAATTAATCCATGCAAGTTAATAAAAAATCAAGCCCTGCTCTCTATTCAATATTCCGTTTCATATAGAAACACGTGACAATACTGAAGTAAAGGCAATTACAACTTCCAGTTCACACGGACTTTAACCTGTTCACACCTTTCAACACACATTTAGTTATTGCACAAGCAGAAAACCACTGCAACCTTACATTCAGATTTGTACAGCAATAACAACAGCACTTGGCATAAATGATCTCAGTGACGATGTACAGCACCAGTCCAGAGTCTGGACACACAGATGTCTGCGAATGATGCTGTGATCAAAACACGTGACTTCAATGAAAACTTTGAGCACTGACATTCATCTGCCAACGTCATCAGGATGTGAGGAGCACGTAATGATGCTTCTCCTTTGCCATGAAAACGTTAGTTTTGTAAAGAAAATCACAACTGCATTTGTCTACAGAGCTCATTTTTATGCATTTAGGAAGGAACCCATAGATCAGAAGGTTTTACGATAATAAGAAACATAAACTCAGTGTGTCTGAACTCTAGACTGCTAGTGATATATATATATATATATATATATATATATATATATAAATACACAAAAAAATTATAACACTAACTCAAATTAGAATTGAAATTGACTTAATTTCAATTCTAATTTCAAAATGAAATTGATTTAAATAAGAATGAAAACTATAATAGCATCTCAATGATACTAAAATAACACTGATATACATTACAATATATTTTGTATCATTATATATATATATATTTACATACAGCAGCTGTTATAGTTTTGTAGCACTTTTTTAATTCATATTCCTTCATTATAAGTGATTATTAAGTATTATTAATATTATGTATTATATTTATTAATACTAGGGCATACAATATATTGTAATATATAATATAAATATATAGATTATTATAGTTAACTAAAATGAAAACCATTACAAAACATTTTTGTTACTTGTATAAAAAATATAAAAAACGTTTTATTTCTTCCGAGGCAACATTTTTCATTTTACTTTAGTTTAACTTGATGTACTAAAATAACTTAAACTAAAAATTAAATAAAAATTTATAGATTGATAAAGACTTTTTTCAATGAAACACAAAAGGAGAAATTTGGATTAATGTTCAGGCTGCTCTTTCCATTCGATGACAGTTTATAGTGTGGCCATGTCTGTCAAGCTCCAAAAACGGACAAAAAAAACGAGAAATAGAAGTACGGAGAATCTTAAATTCAGCCTGTTCCACACACAAAGTTACTGCATGACTTCAGAAGACTTGAAAGATCATGTCAAAGTCATGGAGGTGAGCAGATTATTCAAAAACTCTCTTTATAAAGCCGTACGACAATGAGAAACATAAACTCAGTGTGTCTGAACTCTAGACTGCTAGTGTGTGTCAGAACAAAACTTGCCACTCACCGGAGGATGAACAGATGTCCAGAAGAGAATACAGTCATGATCCATCCGCATTTAGCGTGGTTTATGGAAAGAAAGAGAGAAGAGAGTTTTAGGGCAGGCTTACTCATATTTTGTGCACATTTATAACCTTGCAGAGAGTGAGAGCAGCAGCAGGAGCACATGAGCAGAGCGTGTGTACCTGTGTGCCGGAGATCTCCTGCAGTCAGTCCAGCTGAGATGACTCTGATGACCTGGAAGAAATCGAGTGTCCTGAAATAGCTCTGCCTGATTCAGCCTGGACGCTCTTCTTCCGCATTTAAAACCTCTCCTTCTGCCAGTGAGAGCTGACGCTCCTGCTGAAACCCCAGGGCATGACTGCACAGATTTCAGAACGGATTAGAGCTACAGCATTATCACAGTCCTCCACCTGGCCCACAGATATCCAACAAAATCACACTCCTGAGCCTGACGGCTGAACGAGGAGCCACTCTGACGCTCACCGCACAACTAATAACGGTTCGGAGCAAACTGGGCTAATACCTGCAGGGTATAAATAGCATGTTGTTGATCTGACAGCTGAGCAATGCCTGTGAACAGAGTTAATCGTAAAGGGGATTTGTGATGGAGAGAGGATACAGTGACTCTGATGCTTTCAAAGCCTCCTTATGCTAAGTTTGGCCTTAGTCACACAAATAAACACATGCACCTTTAGCCATTACGCCACTGACATAGGAAGAACAATTATTATTAATATCACAGCAGTATTATAGTTTTAAAAAGTATTATATATATATTAATATTAGGGGATATGGTGTGTGGTAATATTTAAATAAATGTGTCTGTGTGTGTGTGTGTGTGCGTGTGCGCGCGTGTGTCTGTGTGTGTGCGTGTGCGTGTGTGTGTGTGTGTGTGTGTGTGTAATAAACTGGGTTTTTTAAAGGGATAGTTTAATTTTAGTTACCAGCAACTGAAGGTGAACTATCCCTTTAAAACCATTTAAACACACAGACAAGGTAACATTTCTCATTTTAATTTATTTTAACAAGATCATGTCAAAGTCATGGAGGTGAGCAGATTATTCAAAAACTCTCTTTATAAAGCCGATAGTTCCGGTGCTTGATTCTGATTGGCTGAGCCACTTTCGAAGCTGTTGTAAATGACTCTACAAAGTAACATACACCTTTGTTTACGTTTGTGTGTTGCTCGGCAACCACTTTGTAGCAACCACAACTGTTTCTGAGGAACTACATTGTTTGGTGGAAGAATACTGTTTTTATTAATATCATTACACTTTATTTGCTCTGTTTTATTTTGTGAAACCTTACTACGTATATGGAATAACCGTTTTATAAAAGCAATAAGCACCGTGAAGCCGTGGTTTACAGTGAATTTATAACAGCTAACTCTGCTTCACATCGTGCCTAACAACGTCCCTTAGCTGTTATAAATTCACCGTAAACCACGGCTTCTTGAGGTTTATTGCTTTATTTTGTTTTCCAAGGAACAAAATAAAGTACACAGAATTGTAATGAGGGTGAGAAAATAATGACATTTTGAAAAGATATAAGAAGAGTAAATCATCATGTTTCAGAAAGCATCCAAGTTATTTCCACAGAACTGAAAACATGATGCGCTGTGAAGGCATGAAAATAAAGGCCATACAGTATGTGCTTAGTGTGTTTGGCAGGAGTCACTTAACGATCCAGCCATTCTTTAAATATTTGTTCAACGCAGCTCTGACAAACGCCTACCGTGCAACCAGAGCTTTGTAAGTATGCTGGTTGTTGGAAGTGAAAAAGGTTTTCTTGCTTTGTTATACAGCGAGCAGTGCATTGATAAGAGAAAATAATGTGTAACAGAAGCCCTGACCCCGTTAAACAGGCCCCCGGCGCTCAGGATGGGCTCACCTCAAACTCCAGGCGACAGGCCGAAAGATCTCAGGTAAACATCAGGGAACAAACGTCGGTATCACCCGGACGAACAGGTCAGAGAACCGGTCCTTCCTTTACACCTGTTTGCTGCTCCGCCTGTGAACTTGGCCCGGATAGTTGAGCTGGCCCTCGGCGGCCTGAAACCCAAGCAGCGGTCTGATGTTACACAACACAAACCAGCCAATAACAGCAGACAATACCTGCGCTATCTGAATCCAGTGTGTGTGCTCACTTATACAGTGTTTGTGAAAGTGAAAAGAATCACTCAATAGATTCAAGGTCAGAACAAACAGAGCCAAAATCACGAGGCTTTCACAGCATCCAGAAAGCATTGGATGAATATGCAGAAGAGTTTCTGTTTAGATTTCAACTTTGTCTTTGCCTTTTTCTGCTTGTTCGCTTTTGTTGTTCCCCATATGCATATCCAATATATGCATATGTATTAATCTTCATGAAATATGTTGTCATAAATATGAAAGCTTATTTGAAAAGGGAATAATTTCTTATATATATATATATATATATATATATATATCCCGTACAAATAAATATGTATGTTAGGCTACATATACTACCATATAAAAAAAATCATATAGCTAAATATTATTAACATGTGTACAAATTTTCCTATGGGGATTTATATGTTAAAAACGTATATCTTCATTTATCCAGAGAATGTACGTGAAAATTAAGTATCGCCTAATACGTAACAAATATGGCAATATCACTCTTGATATAGGGCTATATGTCATATATTACATTTCATTATGGGTCTGTTTGATACTTTGAACTTCTAGATGTAGTGCTGGTTAATTAACGAAGAATAACAAGAATATTTAATAGCATGATAATGAGTTATTGGATTGTGAGGCTAATCTTTTCCTTGCCTGTGTCATGTTTTGACAAGGCTGAGAGTTTTGACTGAATTATGTTTGGAAATGAAGGCCTCAGTGTGGCTGAAGGAAGCGCTGCTGGATACAAAGAACAAAAAAACCAATTCAAGACACAAAGATACAGCTTCTACTATGGCAAAGGCTGAGCTCATGAATATTCATTTGGTCTCGCTGATGTTGCCTGTTAATCTGCCTGAACTGTCCGGTCCATAACCTAATAGCTGTTTATTTCAGTTCTTCACAATAGTAGGATTCATAATTATGACTATCAATTACCATCATTTCAGCCAGTCAGTTATCCTGCTGGGTAAATGTCAAATTATGTAATTAATATTCATGAGCCAAGTCTTCATCATAGGGTGAATTATCAAAAATTATTCAGGTCATAATGTCACCACAAAATCAAAAGAAAATTACATTTTGCTTAAAGAATATTTATATTTTTAGGATCATAAAAAGTTTTGCATGTGTTTTCCCAACTCTTGATGCACAAAGTTTGAATATGTCCAAATTAGATAGAGATGGAAGGGAAGAGTTTCAGCGAATAATGACCTAAAGTTTCTTACACAGAGCATCCTATGAATTCAGAAGACCTGGAATATAGTGCATGAGTCATAATGTTATCAAGTTTATAGTCACTGGTAGATCTTGATATTTTGATAAACATTATTTGGACAAAAGTAGTGGGACGCACCTCTTAATTATTGAATTATTGAAAGACATGGGGACCAGCTCCATTAAAGGCAGAGTAAGTGATTTCTGGTAGCCAATGTTGATATTTGAAATCACCAAAACAAACACGCCCCTACCCCAAAAGTGTCTTGCCCCTATTTTGATAACCCAGGCAACGATTAGTTCTGTGAAACAAAGCATAACTGCTGCTGCGTTCCATTCATGACGTATTGACACAAATTTCAAATGATTTTCAACGGTCGCTTTGTCGCGTCCAGTGTACTAGACAAACTTTAGCTGTTGCGGCGCAGACACGGTGTTACTCACCTATCGAGAAGAAACAAAGCAGCCTCGGCGTCCGATCGCAGGCCTTCCGCTCCTTGAGTTCTCTCCAGCGCTGGAAAGCTGAACCGATATTTACACGGGTCCTACTTCTTGCCTTAAGCCTTCTTTTGTTCCGCAGATGTTTTCCTCTTTTGTTTTTTATCCGCCATCTCTATCTTTCTGTCGCTCGGCTCGGCTAATGTCCGTCCTGTGCACTGAACTATCTCTCCTCCACATCCTGAGTAGACACGCCCCTTACTGCTGATTGGCTACAAGTTTGTTTTGCTATTCGGCCCGAATCGGTTTTCTAAAGTGTTTTTGAAAAATCGCTTACACCACCTTTAATGTCTATGTATTTAGAGTGCGATGTTGGTCAGGTGTCTCTATACTTTTGTCCATATAGTGCATCTTTATTTTGTGTTGCACTGAGGGGGGGGGGGGG